ACTAATGTTTTTTCTTTTTTTTAGGAGCCTAGAAAGCATTGCACCAGCGATCAGCAGATCCTGGGTGTAATGCAGGTCTCCTGTAGACTGTCAGTGTAAGCTAACATACATATTCACCAGCACGCCATGAATCTCCAATATGGACCAGAAAAGGTCAGCATGTGCCTGATGAAGGGGTCCTGTGCAGCTCCGAAACGTTGCACTTTCTTTTGTGATGTTATCTTTTTGCAATAAAAACCTTTGTTTGGACCATATTGGAGAGCCATGGTGTGCTGGTGAATATGTACGTTTGCCTATGGTGTTTCCAGTCTACAGCAGCCATACTTCCAGGAATGTGGGCGAGAGGAATATAGATACAGATTGTCAATGTAAGCCGTCTACCTGTACGTCATATGGGCAGGCAGCACAATAAGAATCAATGGACTACCACAGCACCATGTAGTTTTGTTGAGAACTACAAAGAAAAATTCCCAGCTCTACTTACCTACCAGTCTGCAACCAACTGAATTATCCTGTTTAACAGTTTGCATTAAAAAACAGGTTTAGTTTGCACACATTTGTAAATACATGCATAAACTGCAGAGCGTCTTCACTGCAAAATGTGTGCAAACTAAACCCTTGTTTGTAACAGCAAACTGTTAGACAAGATAATTCAGTTGGTTGCAGGCTGGTTGGTAAGTTGAGCTGGGAATTTTTCTTTGTTGTTTGACATGCGTTGCCCTTCCATGTGCTCCTTGCTGTGAAGGTCAGTTATAGATTGGGGCACTTGCCATTTGTTTTGTACTGTTTATTGAGAACTACAAGCCGACAGCCTCAAAGGATGTCTGTAATTGTAGTTCTCTCATTCACAAAACTGTGAATGAATGACGTGGCCGTAATGCTGTCACACACACAGGGCTTGGATTGCCGAGTGACTGGAGGAGTGGGAACATGTTACAGGTTCCATCCTAAAAACAAGTGGAACATGTTCCCAAAGGTGACATTATCCGTTGATGTAGGGGCTATTGGAGTTGCAGCTCCAGGCCCCTACCTTAATATAGACCTAGCCACCCAAAAACAACAGGCCCCCTTCCAGTCACCCCCTCCCCCCCACAGCCCTCCATATTACCCCCAGAGCCATCTTGTGCCTATCTCCAGCCATACCATGTGGAGGGGGGCGCTCCTCTTCCTGCTGTGGGGCGGCACGCACTGAAGGTGCGCTGCCCCCCTCCGCTGACTTTCACATTGGAAGATACCAGTGTACGATCTTCCTTCCTATATGAGCCCCGCATATAGCGGAGTGGGGATCAGCCGGGCACATGGGTGCCTCTCTGGATGGGAACCCTGGGATATGAACACTCTCACCATACTGGGCTGTATCGCTCAGCTCTGTGCCGCAGGTAAGGGATGGAGGGATGCAACTTTGTGTTGTGTACCCCTTATGTGAGCACTTGGGGGGGGGGGTGACCCCTGGCCAGGCTGTTCTCCATGGAATAAGTATGCAATGCGGTCTGGAGAACCAATCAGACAGACACCTGCTGGGTGCTGAGTATGGGCACAGGGGGTCTGTACCTGGCACCTTCCCCCCCCCCCCCGGCTGTGTATGTCAGTATATAGGGGAGCTGTGGGCACAAGCTGTGTGTGATCTGTACTGCATGGAGTTTGTATGTTTTGCGGGCACAGCGTACAGTCCATATAGGATGTGTATAGTGGACATAGTAAAGTCTGCATAGATGTGTTCAGTATAGTCACAGTGGGCACTGTATAATTTTAAGTGTGAGCATGGAATAACCCTGGTATGGTAGTACCTGTGGGCACAGGTAGTCACAAATTGAGTGGTTAGCTTTGTGCTCAGTATATATGACGAGACCCTGCTGATCTGTGTGTGCCTAGTCTGCATATGATGCACAGTGTGGGTACAATTAGATGTATAAATGTGGGAACAGAATATAATCCATATAGGATGTGTATAGTGGGCATAATATATGCTACCCGTGGGCACAGGATAGTCTGTACCCGGCACATCTGCTGGTGGCATGCCATCTCTTTAATATATCTACAGAATGGTTAGCACAGTATATATGGTGAGATCATTACTTCTGTGTGATGTGTACTGTCTATAGTCTGCACATGATGGCACAGTGTGGACACAATATGATATACACTATATTGCTAAAAGTATTGGGACACCCCTCCAAATCATTGGATTCAGGTGTTCCAATCACCTCCATGGCCACAGGTGTATAAAATCAAGCACCTAGACATGCAGACTGCTTCTACAAACATTTGTGAAAGAATGGGTCGCTCTCAGGAGCTCAGTGGATTCAAGCATGGTACCATGATAGTGTTAGTGGTACTGTTAGTGGTATTATAACAGAGTGGAAGCAACTGGGAACAACAGCAACTCAGCCACGAAGTAGTAGGCCACGTAAAATGGCAGAGCGGGGTCAGCACATGCTGAAGTGCACAGTGTGCAGAAGTCAGCAACTGCCTGCAGGGTCAATAGCTAAAGACCTCCAAACTTTGTGTGGCCTTCAGATTAGCACAACAGTGTGTAGAGAGCTTCATGAAATGGGTTTCCATGGCTGAGCAGCTGCATCCAAGCCTTACATCACCAAGTGCAATGCAAAGCATCGGATGCAGTTGTGTAAAGTATACCGCCACTGGACTCTAGAGTAGTAGAGACGTGTTCTCTGGAGTGACAAATCACGCTTCTCTATCTGCCAATCTGATGGACATGTCTGGGTTTGGCGATTGCCAGGAGTACGGTACTTGCCTGACTGCATTGTGCCAAATGTAAAATTTGGTGGAGGGGGGATTATGGTGTGTGGTTGTTTTTCAGGGGTTGGGCTTGGCCCCTTAGTTCCAGTGAAGGGAACCCTTAAGGAGTCAGCATACCAAGACATTTTGGACAATTTCATGCTCCCAACTTTATGGGAAAAGTTTGAGGATGGCCCCTTCCTGTTCTAATGTGACTGTGCACCAGTGCACAAATCAAGGTCCATAAAGACATGGATGAGCGAGTTTGGGGTGGAGGAACTTGACTGGCCTGCACCTCAACCTGATAGAACACCTTTGGGATGAATTAGAGCGGAGACTGCAAGCCAGGCCTTCTCATCTGACATCAGTGCCTGACCTCACAAATGCGCTTCTGGAAGAATGGTCAAACTTTCCCATAGACACACTCCTAAACCTTGTGGGCAGCTTTCCCAGAAGAGTTGAAGCTGTTATAGCTGCAAAGGGAGGGCCAACTCAATACTGAACCCTATGGACTAAGACTGGGATGCCTTTAAATTTCATGTGTGTGTAAAGGCAGGTGTCCCAATACATTTGGCAATATAGTGTATATAAAGGTGGGTACACATTATAATCCATATAGGATGTGTATAGTGGGTATAATATGTAATCTGCATAGATGTGTTCAGTATAGTCACACTGTGATGTATAGTGATGGGCACAGTATATTTTCTATACAGTGTAAGCATGGCATAACCCAGGTATGGTGGTACCTGTGGACACAGGATAGGCTGTTTCTGGCATCCCTGCTGGCAGCCTGCTTCCTCTATGTCTATAGAATGGGTAGCTATACATATAATATACTGTATGGTGAGAAAATGTTGACCTCTGTGTGATGTGTACTGTCTGTAGTCTGCCTATAAGGCACAGTATGATGTATAAATGTGGGTACACACTTTAAATCATATTGGATGTGTATGGTTGGCATAATATATAAGCTCCATATATGTGTTCAGTATAGTCACACTGTGATGTACAGTGATGGGCACAGCATATTCTCTATATAGGGTGAGCTTGGCATAGCCCAGATGGTGGTACGTGTGGGCATCAGATAATTGTTTTCTTTTTATTTATTTCTATAAAAAGGCCCACCAAAATTCTCAGCACCAGGTTTATGATGCTCTTAATCCGGCCCTGCATGAAGGGACTCCTAGACACCTGTACAGGACCCCGGGAATTTGTCCTGGATGGCATATGCATTTCCCCGATATTTTGGGTGTGGTCTCTTTAAGGACAGTTGTAGAGACACTGCAGTACTCTCTGCATGGCTAAATTTGTATTAGGGTCCTGACTACCAGGCTGTAGGGGATGCGGGTGTGACCAGAAGTGTGTGGACTGAGACAGGGAAACGCAAGCTTCAGATATGGTATAAATAAGACGCTTTATTAAAGACTAACAGTACAAACATAAACGCAGTGCACCAAACCCCAAGCTAACACAAATACATACAACAAGGTGAAACAAACCCAAACCTAAACTGATATAGATACACAGGTACATACACATGTAGAGCACAACGTAGTCAGGCAGGCCGGGTGGATAACTATCGGGCAGGTAGGTACAGGAGGAACAGGCGGAGAGAATGGTCAGGGTCACAAGCCAGGGATCAAACAGGAGAATTCAGCAGAGGTCAGGATCAGGCAGGGTCGGCAACAAGTCAGACAGGAACAGGAACAGGAATGCAGGTTACAAGGTACAGGGGCCCATGGAAAAACACACACACAAGGTACAGACTGCAGGTCTGGCCATCCCTTAAATACACCTGCAATCAGCCCCAGGTGATGGCTAATTGCCGAAGTGAACCTCTGGTTGTTGAGAGCACCCGCTGGCCAGCCCTGGTCCTGCAGCCCACAAGGCAGGTGAGTCCCAGCACTATTGGCAAGTCCATTCCTGACAGTACCCCCCCCTCAAGAAGCGGTCTCAGGACGCTCCAAACAGTCCTAGCTGGGCAAAATGTTCCACCGCCTGGGTCCGGTGACTGGTGGGATATCAAAGACTGGCACATCGGGCTGGGCACCGGACGGAGGCACTTCGAGCTGGGCACCGGACGGAGGCACTTCGAGCTGGGCACCGGACGGAGGCACTTCGAGCTGGGCACCGGACGGAGGCACTTCGAGCTGGGCACCGGACGGAGGCACTTCGAGCTGGGCACCGGACGGAGGCACTTCGAGCTGGGCACCGGACGAAGGCACTTCGAGCTGGGCACCGGACGGAGGCACTTTGAGCTGGGCACCGGACGGAGGGCACTTCGAGCTGGGCACCGGACGGAGGCACATCGGGCTGGACGCCGGATCACCAGGCGGAACAGCGGGCGCCGGGCCACCAGGCGGAGCAGCGGGCGCTGGGCCACCAGGCAGGACGGCGGGCGCCGGGCCCACCAGGCAGGGCGGCGGGCAGGCACCAGGCGGAGCCCCACCGGGCCCCCAGGCGAGGCGGCAGGCACCGGGCCCCCAGGCGGAGCGGCTGGCACCGGGCCCCCAGGCAGGGCGGCAGGCACCGGGCCATCTGGCTCGACAGCGGGCATCGGGTCACCAGGTACAACAGCGGGCACCGGGTCATCAGACATTGGATCGTCTTGCTCGACCGCGGGCACCAGGTCATCTGGCTCAACAGCGGGCATCGGGTCACCAGGCACGACAATGGGCATCGGGTCATCAGGTATGACAGCGGGCACTGGGTCATCAGGCATTGGATCGTCTGGCTCGACAGCGGCATCGAGTCATCAGGCACGACAGCGGGCATCGGGTCACCAGGCATGACAGTGGGCACTGGGTCATCAGGCATTGGATCGTCTGGCAAGACTGCGGGCACCGAGTCATCTGGCAAGACTGCGGGCACCGAGTCATCTGGCAAGACCGCGGGCACCGAGTCATCTGGCAAGACCGCGGGCTCCGAGTCATCTGGCAAGACCGCGGGCCCCGAGTCACCAGGCACAACAGCGGACTCTGAGTCAACCGGCCCGACAGCGGGCACCGAGTCATCTGGCAAGACTGCGGGCACCGAGTCGTTTGGCGGAACAGCGGGCACCGAGTCGTCTGGCAAGACTGCGGGCACCGAGTCAACTGGCAAGACTGCGGGCACCGAGTCAACTGGCGGAACAGCGGGCATCGAGTCGTCTGGCAAGACTGCGGGCAGCGAGTCGTCTGGCAAGACTGCGGGCACACCGAGTCGTCTGGCAAGACTGCGGGCACCAAGTCACCTGGCAAGACTGCGGGCACCGAGTCAACTGGCGGAACAGCGGGCATCGAGTCACCTGACAAGACTGCGGGCTCCGAGTCAACTGGCAAGACAGCGGGCATCGAGTCATCTGGCATAATAGGATCATCAGGCTGGATCAGTTCATCAGGCTGGGTAGAAACATCATGATGGGTAGAGACATCAGGCTGAATGGAGACATCAGGCTGAATAGCGACATCATGCTGGGTAGAGGCATCAGGCTGAGTTGTGGGCGCCGAGGCACCAGGCTGCACCACAGAAGGCAGGTTCTCAGATGGGAGGCTGACCGGTTTGGATACTGGCAGGACGGTATTGGTTGGAAAGAACTTTCGCCTTTTCCTGGTTTTAGTTACCGGAGCACTGTAAGTAAGCGCAGGTTTGTAAACGGATGGAGCAGCTGGAGACAGAGAAGAGCTGGAGGATGGAACAGAGGAGGGAGCAGTTGCTACAGAGGACTTCTTTACAGGGTTGAAGAAAGGATAGGTGCAGCGAGTGGGAGCAGGGGACTGGTATGTGGTAGTTAGCAGAGTATACTGGGCCATCACTGGGGGTGCTGTCGGGGATGCAGGAAGAGTGCCTTGAGCAGAGGAATGATGTTGCAAGCCAACTGAGGCTGGGTGTAACAAATCTGTCCATGTCTGCAGTACTGGTTTAACAAAACTCAGCTTACACCTAGCCTGTCTGATCAAAGACTGCACTGCGTTTATGCAATCCATAAGCACATGTGATGGACATGCTGCATAGTGCTCATGGAAACAATCTGGATCATCCTCCAACAACCATACCAGTGATTCCACTTGATCCACACTAAATGGGGGAAAAAAGTCATCCCTGCTTTCAGGGTACAGGACCGAGCCAACTCAGCACAAACCTGGATCAATGGCTGCACCTCAGAAAACTCTGTGCCCTGATCAACTAGACAATGAGCGATCCTTATACACTCTAGAAGTTGATCCTGGGTATACTCCTTAAGAGTCTGATAAGCATAGTCTTTGTCATCAAACACTAGCAAAGATAAATACACCACCTCATCAAGATCCATCCTTCCCAGCAACAATAAGCCAAGATGGCCTCCCTGTGCAGCCACTTCTGGTCAGGTCTTTGGCCTTGGTGTAATGTCAGGGATGCGGGTGTGACCAGAAGTGTGTGGACTGACACAGGGAAACGCAAGCTTCAGATATGGTATAAATAAGACGCTTTATTAAAGACTAACAGTACAAACATAAACGCAGTGCACCAAAACCCAAGCTAACACAAATACATACAACAAGGTGAAACAAACCCAAATCTAAACTGATATAGATACACAGGTACATACACATATAGAGCACAACGTAGTCAGGCAGGCCGGGTGGATAACTATCGGACAGGTAGGTACAGGAGGAACAGGTGGAGAGAATGGTCAGGGTCACAAGCCAGGGATCAAACAGGAGAATTCAACAGAGGTCAGGATCAGGCAGGGTCGGCAACAAGTCAGACAGGAACAGGAACAAGAACAGGAACAGGAATGCAGGTTACAAGGTACAGGGGCCCATGGAAAAACACACACCAAGGCACAGACTGCAGGTCTGGCCATCCCTTAAATACACCTGCAATCAGCCCCAGGTGATGGCTTATTGCCGAAGTGAACCTCTGGTTGTTGAGAGCACCCACTGGCCAGCCCTGGTACTGCAGCCCACAAGGCAGGTGAGTCCCACCACTATTGGCAAGTCCATTCCTGACACAGGCCTTTGGTCCCAAAAGGGTTAAGTCCCAGAGGGAAATCAGCAGGGGGAAGTAAGTGGCAGAAAGGCTCACAAGCTGTGTGGCAAGTGGAAGCTCTCAGACAAGCTGAGGCATGGGCTGCTGACCCCCCCAATGTAGCCTAACCCCTGTATAGCACCGAAGATTAGTGGTGAGTTTAAGGTTTAGCTTCTGATACCAGGTTTTGGCCTGTTTATAGACTTTGGCTGAAGTACGCGGTCTTTGTGTTTATCTGTGATCCCAATAAATGAACTGCTTTTCTTTCACCAAACTGGTTGGTGGTCATTCCAGAGCTATCCCAGATTACACACCCTTTAGAATCCCTTCACAACACAGCACCCAAAGTGTGCATTCTTGAACCTGACTCGTGTATCAGTCAGGACAGGTAGTGACTCTGTGGATGCCTGCACTGAGCTCGCAGTGCTCATACTGAACAATCCTTTCCCTCAAGCTGACATACACTAGTAAAATTCCTTTAGGCATTTTAAATTGTAAAAATATTAATTTTTCTAATCATTATTGGGTCAAATGAACGTTCATTTTCAACCGCAGTGACAAGAAAATTCAAAGGAGCAGGATAGAAGATTTTTTTCTAATAGCTTATGTGGTTTTTATTCGGTAAAGTTCTTTCATTCCAAAATTGAAAAGCAAAGGAAATCTTTATTTTTTGAACGACATTCATATGTACTGAGAATTTTCGTACAGGTAAGTGCAGGCATGCTCAACCTCTGGCCCTCAACCTCAAACCTATGGCAACCCGCACAGCCTCCTTTGGGCCCATGCCACTCTACTGAATGATTGTCGGTCCTCCATATTCCTGGCAGCTGTCATACACAAGCTGCTATTGTGGCCGGCTCTCTGCTGTTCTCTTTCCTTCCTAACACACAGAAACAGGGAGAAGAGGCTTGAGCCAAGTGGATTTCATCTAGTGGCATCCATACAAGGCTTCTGGAGGTGGATTCTGACAGTTGTATGATGAGCTTGGTGTCATTCCAGGAGCATGTGAGTGCATTATGTGTCAATTTATTTTTGCTTCTTCTTCTCCTAACCTCTGGGGATATCTCCCCAAACCCTGGTCCTCCACTACTTCACCCACACACAAGGCATCCTCTTTCTTCCGTGAATAGCCGCAATCCCCTCAATCTAATATCTGTCCCCGTACTGCCAAAAACCACCCTCCCTTTTTCATGTGCACTCTGGAATGCCCGCTTGGTCTGTAATAAGCTCACCTCTGTCCATGACTTCTTTGTCTCCCGCTCCCTTGACCTACTAGCAATTACAGAAACCTGGCTTCAAGCAGCAGATTCTGCCTCCCCCGCAGAACTTTCCTATGGAGGCCTCATCTGGACCCACTCACCCAGACCCAGTGGTCAAAAAGGTGGTGGGGTTGGTTTGCTTCTATCGCCACCAAGCACCTTCCAAGTCCTCTCTAACCCTCCCTCTATATCCTTCTCTTCTTTCGAGACTCACTGCATCCGGCTGTTCTCTCCCATTTCTCTGAGGATCGCAGTGATCTATCGGCCCCCTGGTCCCGTGTCCCGCTTTCTTGATGACTTCTCCGCCTGGCTATCCTACTTTCTCTTCTCTGAACTACCCACTATCATTCTCGGAGACTTTAACATCCTTATTAATGTCAATAACCCGGCTACATCCCAACTCTTCAACATAACCTCATCTTTTGCATTAGCACAGTGTATACAGCCTCCACTCACTGTGATGGGAATACATTAGACCTTGTCTTCTCTCATCTTTGTACTCCCTACAACCTCACAAACACCCCCTTTCCTCTCTCTGATCACAATCTCATCACCTTCACAGTCTCCTCATTCTCAAACACCTATCCCTCCAAGCAGCAAACAATTACAAGCAGAAACCTCCGCAACTTGAACCCTGCTACCTTCCACTCTGCAACTGACCAACTCTATGACAGTATCTCTCCCCTGTCCTGCCCTGACCTGGCCACTGCTGTCTATAACAATTCGCTTTCACCCGCATTAGACTCGCTTGCCCCCCAACAACACGAATCATCAGGCCCCGACCATTACAACCTTGGCAGACTGACCACACCAGAAATCTTAAACAACATAGTCGTGCACTGGAGCGATTATGGCGTAAAACCAAATCCCACCAAGCATTCACCTGATACAAATCTGCTTTCTTAACATACACTTCCTCCCTTCATGCTACCAAACAAGCCTACTTAGTCAATCTTATTAATAACTAGTCTTCCAGTCCTTGTCGTCTCTTCTCTACTTTTAACTCTCTACTTTCTCCGCCTCCACCTCCACCCAGTACCTCACTCACAGCTCACAAGATTGAAAATCATTTCAAGAACAAGATTGACGCAATTCCTAGGGACATCGCCACTGCACAGACATCCACCCCACTCAGCATTCCTTATACTAAGCCTCCCTCAACACTTTCCTCTTTTTACCTCGCTACTACTGAAGAGGTCACTAAGGTTTTCTCAGAAGCCTGCCTCACTACCTGTCCTCTGGATCCTGTCCACTCACTACTACGGTCACCCTCTTCTTCCATCCTATGCTCCCTCACTCACATCTTCAATCTTTCCCTCTACTGGTGCCTTCCCCTCCCCTCTAAAGCATGCGCACATCACTCCAATTCTTAAAAAGCCCTCCCTGGACCCCACCAACCTGAACAACTTAAGACCCATCTCCCTGCTGCCATTTACCTCTAAACTCCTTGAAGCTTAGTCTACAATCGCCTGAGCTCCCAC